CAGTGTCCCAGCCGTAAATCCTCTACTTCTCCCCTTTATCAGTAGAGTTTGATCAGTGTCCCAGCCGTAAATCCTCTGCTTCTCCCCTTTATCAGTAGATTCAGGCGTCTGCTTATTAACAGGACTGGAGGTCTCTGTTCTGCTTAGCAAGCATTTACAACAGATAGTCCTTTTGTTTAAACAAATTCCTCTAACCCCCTTGTACAACCCCCCTGTACAACCCCCTTGTACAACCCCCCTGTACAACCCCCCTGTACAATGGTCAACCCTCTGTATCACTACTGCAGCTGAGGAAACACGGGTAGGAAACACGGGTGTGAATGCTCAGGAGATTTAATAAAGGCTTGTTTCAAACCTAAGCTTGAATCTTCCTGACATCTTTTGTTCCTTATTAAATTGTCTTAAACAGCAAATGCAAAAGCTCCTGTTTCTGCCGAGTTTATAGCAAAGTAGGTCCGACCCCCCCCCACTATTTGAGGGCTTAGCTGGACCATGTTGGGATTCAACATCATCTCCCAGAAGGAATTTGGCTTTCTTTATCCTTACAACCTACATGAGGTCGCCTTGGGGCACAGCAGGCTGGTGAGTAGCTGAAAGGCATTTGAAAAGCAGTAGCAAATTGTCCCATCTGCTGCCTCCCTCCTGCAATCTCACCTGCATCAGCTGGAGGGAAAGGCTTTCTTTGCCTCCAAGATTACAAATTCCCTTTCTTTCCCTTCATGCCCCTTATTTCAGTAGCTGGGAACAACACTGCTCTGCAGTGGTGCATCCTGTCTCCTTTCCATTTCCTTCCAAGTTATACAGGAAATAACTTGCTGATGCTGCTGGCGGTCCCCAGGCAGCTCCAAAGGCTCCGTTTTGAGGCCAAATTCCCCGTTTAATGGGGCGAAGGACCAAGGGGCTGTTGGGATTTTGCTCCACCAAGTGGTTTTCACCAGAGAAGGGTTGGAGCTGTGCATTTACCATGGATCTGTGGGGCTATTGGGGGGCCAAAAAAGGCTGGAATAGGTAAAACCCCAACAGCCTACTCTGAGTGGCCGCTGAAACTCCAACCACCCCCTCGCACATCACTGTGGGTGAATGAAACCCAGCACTGGTGCTTCCTGCTTCCCCTTCTTTGAGACATGCAACAAAGCCCCAGTGCCAAGAGGTGTGCAAGGAAAAGGGAAGGAAATCCATCAAGTCCCAGTGCTGGGAGAGAGGTGACACAGGGTTACCAATGTACAAGGGGGTTGTACAGGGGGGTTGTACAAGAGGATTAGAGGTTAGTGCTCTCATGGTTTTAAGTGCATTTGCAGAGCACTGGGAAAGAGAAGCCACGGAGATTCGTAAAAGATTGCTTGGAATGGGAGCTGGTCAAAACAAGGGAATTCTGAAGAAAAGCCCATTGGGTTACATTTTGGCACATTGGAAAGAACGGTGAGGGTCTTCTGGGGGGTCGGTAAACAAGAAAACGTTGATAAAATATTGTAACCAATGTCTGGTTTTAGTTAGACTGTTGCCAGCTTAAAAGTGACAATTCTCCACTCCTGTAATTTTGCATGATGTACACCCCTGTTATTTTTAATTTGTAAAATTTGATAGGAAACTTCTCTGGATAAAGTTGAGTGCTTGATGCGTACGTGTGGAATATCAGGTCTTGTGCGCATCTTTTTATCAAGGCTGTGATGTTCCTATCTGTGTATGAATTGTATCTGTAAAAACATTGTGAGTGTAAAAAGCTGCTTTTTTGTAGGAGAGAGATTTAAAAAAACCACATTTTACTCTCATAATGACATCCCTCAAGCTGGGCATGGGGAAGTTTAGTCTGGGTATTAGGAACGATTTCTTCACCAAAAGGTGGTCAGGCATTGGAACAGAAGAATAGAAGATACTCAAATGGCATGGCTTCCTTGAGGACAGTGTCCAGACAGAGCTCTCCCCTTCTGCAAACTGCAGACAAACAGCATCACACCACTGCTACAAGTCCTTGGGACAGACGGAAGTGATTAAATCAACTCCAGGTGGGGAAAGTCACAGAGAAAGGAAAAACCTTCCTGGGGGAGGACTGCAACTGCACAAGCCACAGCTTCCTCTCCCCTGTGAGAGGAGCAGCTTCATTTCTTTCTTTCTTTTTCCTCTCTTAAAGGACACAAAAGCCTGGCCCTGGCTGTTTACTGTCGTCTGATCTCAGAGGTGCCCCCAGAGCATCCCCAGGGGGCTGGAGACTCCCCACGACAAACACCGACTCAATACAAACCCCAGTGTGTCCATCTGACAGTCACCAGAAGGGCTCCAGCTCTCAAACTCAGGTCCTGCACTCAGAAGCCAAAACATGAATCAGCTCTCAAAGTCCATCAACTCAGCTTGGTTATCAGATGGGTCACTGCTCCTCCTTGAGCTTTTGCTCTCAAAGTAAGCTTCTTGACACCTAGTAAGCATGGCACAGCTGGTGGAAACACCAAGCAGTGCATCGTACCCACTCACAGCTTGGTCTCACTGAACTAACCCAGCCCTGGCAGCGGGATCTAAGAGCTCTGTTTCATTTCCCACCTCAGGAAGTGCCCACGAGGAACGGGGAAGCAGGAAGAGCCGTGTGAGTTAAGTGGTTTCCAGCAAGGCACTTCTGTAAAGCAGTTTGAAGATAGTACAATTGTGATCATGAAGTTCGCCTCTGTGACCAAAGCGTTTGGTGGTTGTGCGTAAGAAGCAGCTACTTGGCCACAGACAGAGCAGAATCCAAACAGCCCCGGAGGCACCATGCTTTTAGTATTACTGTAGGGATGACCCAGAGCAGAGTTTCTGTCTCTCCGCTGTCCTTTCCAGCACGTTCTTGCAGTCCTGCACTGAAATTGCCACTGCTCGAAGTGGAAGCAAAGCGGAGGAAAACCAGTGAAAATAATAAAGAGCAATAATAATAATAACACCTCTTGTTGGACCACACAGGTGTGTTGGAACAGGGGAAGCAAGTACCCACAAGCAGAGGGTGCTGGAAAGCAGCACCCTGCGCCCTGGCCCAGGAATCAAACGCGGGAAAGGCAGATGTGAATACAGACTGTTTATTTGAAGTGGAGACATAAAAAGGGGATGGGGGGTGCGGTGGGGGTGGGAATTACATATTGACAGTTAAGAAATAGTAAAATGATAGTGAAATTATGGTAAAAACTTAAGTTTAATTGTTACAACAACAAGGGTAGAACAAAAGTATAACAAGAACCCAGTAAATATAAACAACAATAAAACAACAAAACAGCTACAGTTTAACAAGAGAACAACAGTAGAACAAGAACATTAGAACCCGCCAAGAACAAACATAGAACAATAAAATCTTCAAGGGATCTTCACAGCCGCTGCCGTTTGGCTGCAGATGGCCCAAAAGGCCAGTTGGTGTCGGAGCTGTCCTCCTCCTTGGGGAAGAACAAAAACCAAACAGGACAGGTTTAGTCACATCCACATACATCACCGTTTAGAAGCAAGGAGCTGCTGTAACAGCTCAGCTATAAAACCAAAGTGTTATTCCATTAAAGAACATTTAAATGTTTGTGGGGTTTCTGTAATTTAGACTGCCCCCGACACACACACTCACACAGCTCAGAGAGTAAAGGAGCTGGCAGCAAAGCCCTCCTGGGGATGGTGGGGACCCTGTGGGCAGGGGGGGCAGCTCCCGGGTGAGCCCTGGCTCTGGCAGCCTCTGCTCCTCTCCCACTGAACGGCCCCGGGGGAGACAGCACCGCAGCTCCTGGGAGCTGGTAAACCCCAAAGGGGTGGGGATGGGCCACAGATGGAAAACAATTTGGATCTGGGGAGGATCCCCATCCGCTCTGGACTCCCCAGCTGGCTCCAGAGCACCCAAACATGGGGAGGGACACCAGCAGAGAGGGGAAGAGAAGGGAGCAGAGAGACTGCCAGGGCTGGAGCAAAGGTCTGCACCTTAGGAAAGAAGGCAAAATAAAGCCAGAAGGAAAGGCTGCAGAGACGCAGAGACGTTCATCCAGCCTCGGGGGGGGGGGAAATCTTCCAGTAGGAAGAGTTTGGTTCACTCCGTGCCACCCTGGGCGCTGCCACCCAGCACGGTTTCTTGCTGGCAGCAGAGAAGGGGCCTGGCCCCATCTCTCCGGTCCCATCTCGGGGCTGCTCTGGACCAGAGCCCCGCGGGTGGGGGGCCAGCAGCACTGGCTATTACTTATTATGGCAATGATGGTCCCGTGCCTTTAGCCGCTTGAGAGCTCCCTGGATCTTGGATCTTGCCTGGGTCAGAGAGGCAGGGCTGCACAAACCTGGAAGCACAAAGTTTGGCTCAGGTCTCTGCAGCTGCACTCTGAGCTGGAACCAGGGCTACCACAATCCCTGTCCCAGTGGGAATGGAAGGTTTTACATCCCCAGAGCCCAGCAGCCACCACGCAAGCCGTCTCCTACGGCACAGCCTGGCCCTTCCGCCATCCCACAGACCAAGGGGACGACACGACCCATCAGCACCAGCTCCCTCACTACCAGGGGAAGCGACGCCTTCTCCAAGGCCTGACGGGCGCTGGCCAAAGAAGGATGCAGAAGTCCCTGGAATGCAACACACCACTGTGAGCCGGGGTCAGCAAAGGAGGAAGAGCCTGGCTTTAGGGAGCTGGCAGCACCCGCAGGAGCCGATGCATCCAGTGCATCCAGAGGGGGCAAGGAGAGGCCCTGCATGCCCCAGGGCTAGGGACCGGGACAGCGAGCGAGGGAAGCACCTTCCCTTCGCATGGCAAGGCTCTGCACAGCCCCAGCATCAGCCCTCAGGTCTGCTGAGCCCGGGCAGCTCAGCCAGGTCTGGCAGGAAAGCTGCTGCCTAAATCTAACCCCCGCAGAAGCCCCGTCCGCCCCGACTCACCTCCCAACACGGGTGCGCTCGCACTTCTGGGCTGGCTGGTGTCAGTGAGGCCGCTGGTGCTGGAATCGGCTAGCCCAGAAACCACCGATGCCGTGCTCCCTGACACTGCCCCTGTGCAGCTGGTGCCCAAGGAGCCCTGGGCGATGGCTGTGCCAGGGACGTACCTTCCCCACTGGTGCTGGGGACCTCATCTGCTGGGAGGGAGCACGAAATCAGGACCCACAACTTGCTGTATGGGAATACCCCTTAGCAGAGCCTCCCAGCATGAACAGCTCACAGCTCCGCCCAAGCCTTCACCAGGCTCTAAAAGTTTCAGACCCGAGGACCAGGGAGCACCGGCCTACGAGCTTCCTCAGCTTGTGCTGCACGGACACCCCACTGCCCTGCCAGCCCGCGCCATGGCTGTCTCCTCCTTGCCGTGCCCTTCACATTCCCACTCTGTCCTTACCCGCCTTCTGCCCCAGGAGTCGGCACAACCACTGCTGCGCTGCCTTCCTCTCCTCCTCTATGATCTCCTCTGTGATGGGGTAGCCCGGGTCAGGCGCAGGGGGCTGCCAAGAGAGAGCAGTAGCTTAGTTCCTTCTCAGGGAAGCCGGCAGAGCCACTCTGAAGGAGGTGTGGAGCAGGCTGGCTCCAGAGCCGGGAAGCCGTGGTTCTGCCGCAGCCACCGCAGAGCTCCGGTCCCCATTCGTTTTGGCCCCAGCTTGGTGCTGAGGGCACAGCACCCTTGCCCAGCCAGTACCTGCTCCAGCAGTGGGCAGCAGTCACGCACAGCCACCACGCACCGGGGCAGGGGAGAGCCTCACTTCCCACTCAGCCAAGGACGAGACCTCCTGCCCCAAGGCAGGCAGGTCAGCCTGCCCCCAGCCCTGCACAAATTGCACTGGGCACATTCTGTCCCCAGACGAGGCCAAAGAGGCTGCGAGACAGCGACGTACCAGCACCAGTGGCTCATTATCCCAGGGCACCAGCAGGCAGATGCTCCTCCTGCGCGGTCTTCCGTTTCCTAGCGATGGTGGTGGGCTCAGGGACTGCCGCCGCTTCTCAGCCCTCTCGACAGCTACAGGAGGAGACAAGTCAGGAGCAGCTCCCAGCAGGGGCGATTGGCCTGTACCGAGGGGGTTGTCCCTTCTCACCCCTCTCCGGATGCCCGTCTTGGAGGGCAGAGCCAGGGACACGGCCTTAAGCCGCAGACAAGGCTGCGATACCCTGGGGCAGCAGCTGGCCACAAGAGATCCACGGGGAAGCTGTCACAAGAGCCCGCTGGGGCTCCACGGGCCAGCGGCCCCATCCCACCTCCACAGACGTTCCTTGCTCGCTGCCCACCCGAACCACAAACCACACAAACTGCCAGACGTGGCCACATCTCACACTGTGCCACAGGACCCTAGCCACAATGGGCACACGGGAGAAAACGCCACTGCCTCAGGACCAGCACGTTCCTCCTTTCCAGAGGACACCACAAGCTCGTCCCGCCTGCAGACCTGAGCTACCTCGCGTCCCGCTGCTGTCCCGCACCAGTGGCCCACCCAACCCTGTCACAGAGCTGGGCCCCACCTGCAGTCACCTTCCTCCATCTGCACAGCCCTGGTCGCTGTCACTGGCGCGAGGCTCCATCGTCGCACCTCCTGTTCCCTGTGCAAGCAGGAGAGAGCCAGTTAGGGTCGGCCCCCTGACCTGGGAGCAGGACAAGACTCAACACGCCGAGGACTCCCACAGGCATCCCTGCTGTGTTTCTTTGCTGTCTTTGCCAAACAGCAGAGCTCAGGGCAACAGCCTTGAGTCACTGCAGCAGCCTAAGCATGGCTCCAGGCAGAGGAGCTGCTCCTCTCCCCCCACCAGGGCCCCGGCTCGGGCAGCCTCAAGGCAGCAGCCGGGGATCCCGGGTGGGAGCCGCTGCTCCTCACAGGGCCCAGGTCGGACCCACCCTGTCCTGCTGCTCCACAGCACCGCAGGGGAACAAGGCTGCAGGGATGCTGATCAGCACAACACCAGGGCTGCCCCACAGCTGGGTGACCCAGTAGCCAGGTCTCGGGCCTGGAGAGCAGCACTTGGGTACTGGGATGGCTGGGAAGGAGAACACTTTCTTCCCGGCTGGCACCGACAAGAGGGCGCTCGCCGGATGAGCAGTACATTACCTTCCTGTCCACTTGGCCACCGCACAGCAGACTCCTCTGCAGGACTGTGGGGACAACCCCCCCCACATCCACTTCTCCTGGAACACAGGAAGAGACCAGCTTTGGTCTCAACTGATTTGGCTCTGGGGAGCACAGCCTCCCGTCCTCTTCATCGCTGTAGAGTAAATCCCATCTCCCAGGCACTGGCTACCGAGCCCAGAGCCTCTCTTGCTTCAAAGCTGCTCAGCTCCCCTCCAGAACGTCCAGGGCAAAGCCTGAGCACCCCAAACTGGATCCACTCTGGGAGCAAGCAGCCTCCAGGCTGTTTCTAAGCGAGGCAATGGGGAGGGAGGATGCTGCTGCCCCAGACACGGCAAACCCTTCCCTACTGACTCACCGTGGAGAAAACCTTTCCCTGCACAGCTGCAGAGCTCCATTAGCCACGACTTCGTCCCCCTCTCACATCTGCAAGCCCAGCCCAGGACGTGAGCAGTGTTTTATTACAGCTCAGCAGGTGCTGAGGGGACCCACGTCAAAGTGGCAACACCGGGCTCCCAGGCGTGCTGCTGCCTCTGGCTGAAAAGCTGTCAGCACAGCAAAGAGATTTCGTCTTCCCCTTTTCCCTGGATGTGTCCCCCCTGCAGAGTGGCCAGGGCAGAGTGAGGAGAAGCAAAGAGCTGCGCGCTGGGCTGCAGAGCGGGGCTGGGCGTCGGGCCCATGGCAAGACCCTGGGCATCTGACTGTCCCAGCGTACCGGCGGGGGCTCCAGTGCGGCAGCAGCGGGTACCGGTGGCGCACGGTTGGCAGTGGGGCTCTGCGGGGACACAACGATCAGCGCCTCTGTTAGCGGCGGGAGGATCCGATCCCGTCCTCCCCCCGTGCTCCCTCAAGGCAGTAGTGGCCGGAGTGGGTGCTCTCAGCACAGACGGTGCCGGCGGCCAAGCCACCGTTAGAGTCCATGGGAGCCGGAGCCTGCGGGCCGGCAGGACCGTGTCGCACACCAGGACCCCACTGCAGCCAGCAGCAATCCCTGCACAAGAAGGCAGGGCAGCACCACAGGCAGAGCTATGGGACCAGCACCGCCATAGCTGCGCCACCCATGTCCTTATCCTGCCCGTATCCCTGTGCCGCCTGCATCCCCGTGCCACCTGTGTCCCTGTGCCACGGAGGTGGGAAGCGGGCAATGAGGCTCGGCCTGTAGGGGAAAAGGAGAAGTCGGGGAGGGCGCTGGGGGGGCACGAACCGTGCGGGAGGGCGCCGGGCCGGAGGGCGCCTGGCGGGCGTGCGGGACCGCAGCGCAAACCGGGCACCCCCCGCGCCCAGCGCCGCTCCCAGCAGCGATCCCTGCGCCAGGCAGGTCAGCATCACTGCCAGCGCCAGAGGCAGCGCCACGGACTCGGCAGCGCCATCGCTTCCGACCGCAGCAGCAACGGCCACCGGCCCGGAACGCGCTGCGGGAGCCGCGCCGCCGGACCTCGCCAGTCGCCGCCTTCTACAGCTCGTGGCCCTGTTCCACCGGCACCCCCGGTCCACCCGCCTTCTACTGACAGCCCTGGGCCACCCTCCCCCTGACAGTCACTGACCCTGGGCCACCCCTGTCCTGAGCCCACCCTCGCCTCTGTGCCTGCAGCTTCCACAGCCCTGCTGTGCCCTACCAGGCAGGCACCGTGGCAGGGACCATGACACAGACCGCACAGAACACGATTCCCCTGAGCACCTCCCTGGCAATGACCCCCACGGGCCAGCTCAGGGGCACCCGACTTCCCGGGAGGGAGCAGGGGCACACGGGGAATCCCTATGGAAAACAACAAACCCAAGGCAAATGACCGGGTTTCGGATCTCAGCAGCTGCCAAGCGCCACGCTTGAGATGCAGGGGAAAGCTGTGCTTAGAACTGGATTGGGTTTTCATGTAGCCACAGCAAGCTTTGGTCTTTACAGCTACTGAGGGCTTTGCAGGCTCCTCCCGAGCTCTCAGAGGACAGCCCAGCACTGGCACGCGTTGTAATCTAGGGTGTCCTTGCTAGGGACAAATGTGGTGTATTGAGACGTGCAGCCCTCGTGTTCCTTCAGGTCTTTCTGCTCAGAGCTGGGGACAGAGCAGGCTGCTGCTGCTGTGCTGCCCTTTCAAAGGGGCCTTGCAAGGAACGCTCACACTCTGCCCATGGCAGGCAGGGCTCCATCTCCAGCCCTCTGGTTTCCCCTTTGCCCATGCCCAGTGCTCCCATGCAGTGCGCACAGCTGTAGCACTGGGGCTGGCTCAGGTCCTCAGGGGGCTGCACAAGGGAGTCTTTTGGGGGCAGATGCCAGGGGAGCTGCAGGTGACTGAAACGAAACGGTGATGCAAGGGCAGAAGCTCTTGCACGTGCAGCCTCTGGCTGCCCCATCCTGCTTGAGCCTTGCCCCCACCTTCCCTGCCTGCCCTCTCCCAGCAGTACAAAGGATGCTGCTGCCATCCTTGGGCTTGGGGAGCACCATAGGTGCTTCCTTCAGCCCATCCACCTCTGCTTGAGAGCGTAAAGACTCCTCTGGTTGCCATTGCCAAGGCTCCCTGCTTCCTGCCCCTGGGCTGGGCTGAGGTCTCTCCACTGGAAACACCAACGCAAGAGAAAGCACAACGTGGTAATTAAGCGTCCTTCCCAGCACACTTGTGCAGTCTTGCCCTGAAACAGCCTCTGCTCAAAGCAGAAGCAAAGTGGAGGAAAACCGGTGAAATAATGACAAATTGTAATAATAATACAAACAGTAATAACTGTTGTTCGACCACACAGCTGTGTTGGAACGGGGAAGCAAGTACCCCCAAGCAGAGGGTGCTGGAAAGCAGCACACTGCTCCCTGGCCCAGGAACCAAACCCGGGGAAGGCAGATGTGAACACAGACTGTTTATTTGACGTAGGGACAGAAAAAGGGGGAAGGTGAGCAAGGACCTTCGCAGTAAAACAATACTAAAATGGTAGTAAAAAACCCAACGTGCCAACTGCGGTAGAAGAAGAGAGTAACAACAACAGATCAACAACAGTCTAACAAGAACAGACCACCACTCCCGACACCAGACCGTACCGAGTGCAGAGACGCACAGCCATTCATCCAGCCTTGGCTGTGGAACCGTTCCAGCAGGAAGAATTGGATCCCCCCCGTTCCATCTCGGGCGCTGCTCCCAGCACGGTTTCTTGCCGGCAGCAGGGACGGGGCCTGGCCCCATCATTCCGGGCCCGCCTCCCCGCGCCTCGGGCCTTGCCTCGGCTCCGCAACCGCTCCCACACGGCGCTGCCCCCTCCACAGCCACGTCTTCACACCGGATCCCCCACGGGCCTCCCACCACAGACCGGAGCCGGAGCCGTCCCTGACAGCGCCGGCCCAGGACTTGGCTGCCACTCGGCAGCGGCGACCTCGCAGCGCTTCCCGCCGCGCCGTGCTCGCACCATGGCCCCAGCAGGGAGGCGGAGCTAAAATGGACGCGGCCGCGGCTGCCCCGCGCTGGTTGTCCATTGGCCGGGGCCGTCCAGCGCTGTTTCTCCATTGGCCGGGGCCGCCCAGCGCTGTTTCGCCATTGGCTGAATCCGCCCGGCCGTGACTCCTCTGTGGCCGCCCCTACGCTTTCCCCGCCTCGCCGTCGCTCCGCAAGCTCACTCCGCAGGGAAGGGGTGCGCGGCGGCCGCTGGGCCGAGCGAGGCGAGAGCTCTCCGGCGGTGCGGGCCGCGGGAGCGGGTGTTGCGCTGTGGCCGGAGCGGAGCGGGGCCGGGCCGGGCAGGGCCGGGCCGGGCCGTGTCCGTGCGGGAATGGCGGAGCCGGGGTTGGCCGTGTAGGAGCTCGAGGGTGTGTGTAAGGTAAGTGCAGCGGGGAGGATGTTGTGGTGGGTGCTGGCCGGGTGTGGGGTAAGAGCCGTGAGGTGGTTTCGGGGCAAGGGGACGAGAGGTTTGTGTGAGGATGTGCCGTGGTTCCGTGGGTCGGGCGAGCTCCGAGCAGGAGTCAGTGGTGCGTGCGGAGGGGCAGGGGTAGGGCAGGCCCAGGGCTGAGGGGCGGCGGGGCAGCTCCATGGGCGGTGAGGCCCGGGGGAGGTGGGGGTGTTCCATGGGGAATTGCAGGGGTTGCCCGGGGAGGGGGGGGGGGGCGGAGCGGAGCGGCGTTCCCGGGGTGCTGCAGGTTCCCGGAGCCCCCCTGGAGGGGTTCGGTGGGGCTGCCGCAGAGCCGCAGCGCTCCCAGCTCTGGTCTTTGGGAGCTTCGGTGTTGCTGATGAAGGGCTTCCCGTCAAGGTTGTGACCTGAGTCGAGGTCTTGCTCTGGCCTGGAACCTGGCTCAAAGCTCCTGTAAGCAGAGTGGCGCCTCACGTGTACGAGCAAGGGTTGTGCTCAGCAGCGGGCGCTTGGAGGTGATTTTCCCCTTGCCGTGGAGCTTTGTAGCTCGAGAGATCTGCACGTGTTGGATCTGTGCCAAAGTAAGGCCGGTCCGATGCCCTGGGTGTTTCACAGGGACTGCTTCCTTTCAGACACTTGCACAGCTCGAGTGTTACCTGCCTTTGCCTGGAACAGAACCGGTGCTCTCTAAAGAAAACCCAGAGATTCCACAGGGCAGTGGAAACAGAGGTTGAGCTCAGTTGGTGCTCCTCTGAGGAGGTGAAGGCTTCTTGTAGCGTCGTGTTTGTAGGCAAAGGCTGTTTTTTGCAGAGCCTGGCGTCAGGCTGCTGGCCTGAGCCTGCAGGTGCGGGATGGCTGGGTTTGTGGTGTTCATTCTCAGTTTGTGCTGTTGGAATCTGCTCTCGCTAAATCTGTGATCTGTTTTAGACTTGGATGTCTCAATGGATGCGTGGAGCTTCTTCTCTACTTGCCTGGTGTCCTTATGGCTGCACAGGCTTTACGTCTGTTCTGCAGTTGCCTTTGGGGTCAGCATTTGGATCGTCATTCAGTTCTCCACCTCCAAACCCCAAGAGAAAGTAACAGAGCATGTAGGTGCTTTGAGAAGAGCCCCAGAATCTGTGCCCCGCTCCACAGCCCAGCGAGCAGTTGCTGGGGAAAGGAAGCCCCTGGTGCAGTGAAATGTGCTACTCCCCTGTGGGCCCACCGGAGTTGTTGCATGTGCCAGCTGTAGTTCAGTGTGTCTGATGGTTGTAATCCTCAGTCCTGGTCGTCTTATGTTTGTGGGTAGCTGAACGCGCTCTTTGCTCCGCTGTTACAGCAGAACTCATCTGAATGCTTTCCATTTGTTACTGAGGGAGTGTGTCAGCCTCGCTTGCTCTGTCACTTCAGGCAAATCACTCTGCTTCTGCAAGGTTTTCTCATTTTTCCTGTGATGTTAATGATAAGGTTGGGCTGGTCTGGGGACCAGGGTGGGATTAGGCCACTCGGGAATTAAAATCCTTGCCGTTCAGGTGAGTGAAGCTCTGCTTTAGGAGTTGGGACGTTCTTGGTTTCAGCCTGAGTCTGTTATCTCAGCAGTGTGCGAGATGAGCGTGTTGTAGCATGGCCTAGTTTGGAGAAAGCTACTTGTGTGTCTCTGTAGGGTGAGAGACACTCAACTGCTTTGTTCCATTTGCATGGTGCTGAGAGTCTGATCACAGGACTGGAATTTTCAATGCTTTTGGGGAAAAGGGGGTTACCATCGCTTTGAAAAGGGATGGAACGCGAGACAGTGCTTGTTCCACAGGGTGAAAAACCCACTGGGAATCCCGCTTCTTCTGAAGGAATAGAAGACAAGGTAGTCAATGGATGTGCCACCCTGCAGAGAAAGGAGGTCTACGTTGCTGGGGTAAAGATTTTCTATGGGTCTCAGACTGGCACAGCAAAGGTATGAGTTACTTTTTTTCCATGTGCATGATCTTGAGTTGAAATGTTGAGATTCGAGTATGTTGCTTGCCTTAGAAACACTACAGTGTGTAAAGATCAGAGTTCCTTAGGTCATGAGAAGTTGTTACCCAACAGGAAAGATAAGTGAAAAGCATATAAAAATAAGAGCTTTACTACTGCCTTCATGTGGGGTATGCAGTAGAGACATTATTATGAAGCTTCAAGTTTACTCTTACAGTGTTATAGAACCCCAGCCTGGTTTGTGTTGAAAGGGACCTTCCAGTTTTAACCCCCTGTTACAGGCAGGGACACCTTCCACTAGAGCAAGTTGCTCCAAGCCCCATCCAACCTGGCCTTGAATATACTCTTAATTTGCTAGCTGATCTTCTTAGAAGTGCTCTTTCAGGTGCTTTTTCAAAAGGAAATGTCATTTGTGTGTGTAAATATAAAATCGTTAATCATAAAATTCATGTGATTCTGTTTTTCCAGCCAGTATATCCTTGCTGTGCTGGGAGAAGTCCTGTCTCTGGGCACAGCAGGGCTTGTTTGACCTTTCAGGTACCTGTGTTGTAGCACCCAGTTGCTGTCTCTGTTTCTTTTCTCAGAGATTTGCCAGAGCTCTTGCTGAGGCAGTTATTTCCCTTAATGTGCCAGTGGAAGTCATTAGCACGGGAGACTGTGATCCAGATGATTGTTTATTAGACGAGGTAGGTATGTTGTAAATGGGAATAATAATTCCAAGCTTTTCCTGGGGTTGTGAAGGCAAAGCTGTTGTGTTGCAATTTGCTTTCCTTCCATGGAAGCAAGTGCAGTCCATCAGCCCTTGGCAACAAATAGCTAAATGCTGAAATTGCTGAGGAAAGGCTTATGTAGGGTGTGTGATGCCGAGCTTGGCTTTGTCCAAGCCAGTTGTGTAACTCGGCTGTGAGTAATGGACAGTGTCTGCACCAGGGCCCCTGTTGTGTCTATGAGTGTCCACCTGGGAAGGGTTCAAAACTGGAGTAAGAGGATAGTGATTCTTCTGCAGCTTTTAGACTTAGAAACTTCTCGTGAGCAGTATTTCTGCTGGGGAATCCTTGGTGGATTTTTCTTCTGTCAATATTGATAGTTGATTTTTTTAATGTATGGGGGCGTTATTGCTGCAAGAGCGTGTTTTGGAAGCTGTTGATTGGGGTGGGGAAGGTGGGTGTCCCGTTCTGTTTTACCACTCCATTAAGCAGGGGAAAGAGAGCTTGTTCTCCTTTGGTTAATTTAAGATGGCTTTGCAGGGAGGATGGCCATCCACCACTGTTGGGGTTACCACCTGCAGCATCCCACACCAAAAACTATTCAGCCAGCCAGCCAGCCAAAATCTCATCTTTTGACTTCTTTCAGGTGCCCATGTGTTCCAGCTCTCTTCCTGAAGTGCTCAGAAAAATTGAGTGATCTTTTCTCTTGTGTTCTGTTTCTGTTCTTAGACAACCAGCAGGAACATCTGTGTGTTCTTGGTGGCTACGTACACAGATGGGCAGCCAACCGAGAGTGCAGCCTGGTTCTGTAGGTGGTTAGAAGAGGCTGCACACGACTTTCGCTTTGGGAAAGCCTATCTGAAGGGCCTGAGATATGCTGTATTTGGCTTGGGAAACTCTGCGTATGTTGCTCATTACAACACAGTAAGTATCTCCTGTGCACATGTCTTTGACTCCTGCTCCTCTGAAAGGCTGAGCTATCTTAAATGCTACGTACCTGCCCGTTACTGGTAGTTTGTGTGAGAATTGGCCCAGAAAGCCAATGGCATTCTGGGCTGCACCAAAAAAAGTGTGGCCAGCAGGCTGAGGGAGGTGGTTCTCTTCCTCTACTCTGTTTTGGTGAGACCCTCCCTCTGTTGCATCCAGCTCTGGGGCAACAACACATGGGATGTGGAGCTGTTGGATCGAGCCGCAGAGATGCTGCCTGGGCCGGAGCAGCTCTGCTCTGGAGCCAGGCTGTGAGAGCTGGTCTGGTTCAGCCTGGAGAAGAGACGGCTCTGGGGAGACATTAGAGCAGCTCCCAGAGCCTAAAGGGGTCTGATGATAAACCTGGAGAGGGGCTTTAGATAAGGGGCTGCAGGGACCGATCAAGGGGGAATGGCTTTAACCTGCCAGACGGGATACTGAGAATGGCCATTAGGGAAAAAATTCTTCCCTGTGATTTTGGTGAGACACTGGCACAGGTTGCCCATAGAAGTGGGCATACGGCAGTACCTGAGCCTTGTAATGAGTTTCATCTTGGTCGGAAAAATGGCGTGACTTGTCACCTGGTTGTTATGTTTGTGTAACTGGAGCCACAGGAAATGTGTTAGGGATGTGGCCATTTTGACCAAGCATAGCATAAAGGAGCTTGTTTCCAGAGCTCACCTCTTTCTTATCACATGGGTTTGATAGCAGAGGTGTTTTCCATCACAGAATGCTTTGGGTTGGAAGTGACCTTAGAGCTCTTAGAGTTCCAACCCCCTGCCACGGGCCTTGTGCCACCTTCTTGTGCCTTGAACACTGCCAGGGATGGGGCAGCCGCAGCTTTTCTGGGCACCCTGTGCCAGCGCCTCAGCACCCTCACAGTGAAGCATTTTTCTCGTAATGTCTAATCCAGGTGTGGTGGTGTTCAGACTGTGTGTGCTCTGAGCCGGCAGGTGAGGGAGAGTCCAGAAGTGCCTGTCCTGCAGTCCTGTGCAGCCCTCTTTCCAGGCTTGGTGCTTGCTTTCTTAGTTGCCTGCTTTGTTTAACTTGCCCTTCATTTAATTTCCCTCTAACTTTGATCTTATCCCAGGTTGGAAGAAATATTGACAGGTGGCTGTGGATGCTCAGCGCCAGCCGGATCGTGACTCGTGCCGAGGGGGACTGTAACGTGTCCCAGAGCGAGCATGGCACCATTGAGGCCGACTTTGAAGCCTGGAAAGCCAAGTTCCTCACTCAGCTTCAGGCCCTCTGCAGAGGGGAAAAGAAGCCCTGTGGTGGGAAGTGCAAGAAAGGGAAGTGCAAATCTCCAGGGAAGCAGAGCAGGGAGAGTTCAGATCATGAACATGGGGTATCGGAATATACGAATACTGAGGTAAAGCCCAAATCCGTGGGACCTTATTTCTGATTTAGTACCCCTTGTAGCACTGGTTGACTTCTCTCCTTTCTCCTTCAGCCCAGAGGGGTGCCGTGGGAGCTTGATACCTCTTTTTTTTTGGATCAGAGGGGGAAGAGGGATGAGATCCCATGGCAGATAGCAAGTAGAATAAGCCACCCAAGAAGGACCAAAGAATTAGTGATGGCTGATGGTCCTAGGCTAGATGGCATGTGTATGATGAGTCTTCCTCTTGCATAGGGGGAGGTATGTGTTGTGATACATGCTCCAGGGACCCAGTCTGGGTTCTCTTCAGAGCCTTTGCTTTGTCTCGTGGCCAAGTTCACTTCACATTTAGTTCTCTGGGAGCAGTTAACCTGCTTCCATTTCAACTTGGGGAAATTTAGGTGCTTTGCCTGAATCCCAAGGTTTTTCCAAAGGCAGTTGGGGGAGTGTTCTCTGAGCAAGTCCTGTATTTGCTCTGAATGTGTGTCTGTAATCATTTTTGTGTCTTCTGGCGTGTTTGTTGATTGCAGGCTTGAATAAGGAATCCTCTCTCTTGCTCTAAAATGCAAGACCCAGAGGTGCTGTGGCACTTTAATCCTGCCGGCAAGGTGTTTGCTGTGAGTTGGAAATGACTATGATGACCATGTTGAATTCTGTAGTAAAAGAAGGTCTCTTCTGTCTGAGTGGGTTTGAGGGTGCTGCCTACTGCAGGAACAAGAGGAATAAGCATTGCTGTTCCACCAGTGCTCTTCTGCTGTACCTTGCCTGTGTACAAAAAGGGAGACGGTGTTTCTGCTCTGTGAAGAATTTGACTGGGAAAGCAGATCTCTCACTCCCTGTTCATCAGACACCAAGGGGCACTCGGGGGAATTGAAGGGCTTTAGGCTTCCAGATGATCACAGTACAGAGTGGGAGTCTGACTTCTCTGATTGCCTGTCATGGGATCAGGTGGGCACATGAGGGAAAGGGAGTAATCTGGAGGCAAGAAAGCTGGGCTGAGCTTCAGACACCAAAGAGAGCCCCAGGTTTAAATGCATCTTGTACACATTATACAGGTTATTGGTAGGCTGTTCCTTGTTTTTCAGTATCTTTGCCGAGTGTGAGAGCTGTTTTCACTGGTTAGCATAGATGAAGATCTAATGCTTAACATTCAGATACAATTCTCACTTGGATTTTTGTCCGATCTCTTACACAGGCAGAAGAGTTGTTTGAAAGCAGTAGTGAGGAGGAAGCTGACGCTGAGGAAGCTGGAGGGTCAAATTCTGTCCTTGATGTTGAAGATCTTGGCAAGATCATGAGGCACGTGAAGGAAGCCAAGGTACCACTGTTACAACGAGTGTGGAACTATCGGGTCTTTATCAGTGATCAGTTGAATCGCTTAAAATACACTTGCTGGATTTGAATTGCTGGAGCTAGTTAAAGGGAGAGTAAAATAGAAGCTATTGGAGAACCTGTCCTCAAACAAGCCTATACTTGGAGGTGTGTTGGATATACTTCCTGGCTAACTGGGACCTGTTCGCTGAGCAAATAGTGCAGTGGTAACCTTTTATTGTGAGTCAGAGGGAAAATAACTTCCACTGTTCAGATCTGAATATCCATCTCTGTTGCTGTGATTCACAGTCCAGTGTCTAAACACAAATCTTGTTACTGGATCTGCCTGTGGGAGCTTGATCTGACCTGTGTTGAGCCTGGCAAAGACAACCATAATCCTGCTTTATGCCAGGGTGTTACTGTCTCCCTTCCTGTGTGGGTCTGTTCATGTTTCATTTTCCGTGTGCAGTCTTCCAGCAGAATACATTAGACTCCTTTATCTGGTTAGCACACGGGAAGGAGTGAGAATACACATAGGTACTAGGCTAAGCCTTCCTGTGTTCCCCACACTTCTTGCCGGCTGAGCAGTTGGCGGTTGGGATGGGAAGGGTGTGCCCAGGAGGGACCTGGGATGTCTGTGTTGCCACCTGCTGGCTGTTTCCCCGTTAGCAAGCTTTCTGTGGTGGGCTCTTTCCTTGTGCATCCTTGAGCTGCTCTCCACCCTTTCCTCAACAAACCTACCTCTGTCTGTAACTGCACCATCCTTGTCTTGCATAGCTCTGCGCTGTGGACTTAGATTCATAGAATCATAGAATCGTTAAGGTTGGAAAGGACCTTAAGATCACCAAGTTCCAACCCCCCTGCCGTGGGCAGGGACACCTTACGCTAAATCATATCACCCAAGGCCTCGTCCAGCCTGGTCTTGAACACTGCCAGGGATGGCGCATTCACAACCTCCCTGGGCAACCCATTCCAGTGGCTCACCACCCTAACAGGAAAGAATTTCCTTCTTATATCCAACCTAAACTTCCCCAGTTTTAACCCGTTACCCCTTGTCCTGTCACTACAGTCTCTAATGAAGAGTCCCTCTCCAGCATCCCTATAGGCCCCCTTCAGATACTGGAAGGCTGCTATGAGGTCTCCACGCAGCCGTCTCTTCTCCAGGCTGAACAGCCCCAACTTCCTCCGCCTGTCTTCATGCGGGAGGTGCTTCAGTCCCCTGATCATCCTTGTGGCCCTTCTCTGGACTTGTTCCAACAGTTCCATGTCCTTTTTATGTTGAGGACACCAGAACTGCACACAATGCTCCAGGTGAGGTCTTACAAGAGCAGAGTAGAGGGGCAGGATCACCTCCTTCGACCTGCTGATCACGCTCCTTTTGAATGCAGCCCAGGATACGGTTGGTTTCTGGGCTGCAAGCGCACACTGCCGGCTCATGTTCGTTTTCTCATCAACCAACACCCCCAAGTCCTTCTCCACAGGGCTGCTCTGAATCTCTTCTCTGCCCAACCTGTAGCTGTGCCTGGGATTGCTCTGACCCAGGTGTAGGACCTTGCACTTGACATGGTTAATCTTCATGAGGTTGGCATCAGCCCACCTCACAAGTGTGTCGAGGTCCCTCTGGATGGCATTCCTTCCTTCCAGCGTGTCAACCGAACCACACAGCTTGGTGTCATCGGCAAACTTGCTGAGGGCGTACTCAATCCCACTGTCCATGTCAACGACAATGATGTTAAACAAGACCGGTCCCGACACCGATCCCTGAGGGACCCCACTCGTTACTGGTCTCCAGCCGGACATTGAGCCATTGACCACAACTCCTTGTATGCAGCCATCCAGCCAGTTCTTTTTCCATTGAGTGGTCCATCCGTCAAGTTGATGTCCCTCCAATTTAGAGACAAGGATGTCGTGTGGGACAGTGTCGAACGCTTTACACAAGTCCAGGTAGATGACATCAACTGCTCTACCCCTGTCCATCAGTTCTGTAGCCCCATCATAGAAGGCTGCCACATTGGTCAGGCAGGATTTCCCCTTAGTGAAGCCATGCTGGCTGTCACCAAGCACCTTGTTGATTTTCATGTGCCTTAGCATGCCATCCAGGAGAATCTGCTCCAAGATTTTGCCAGGCACAGAGGTGAGACTGACTGGTCTGTAATTCCCCGGGTCATCCATTTTCCCCTTCTTGAAAATGGGGGTTATATTTCCCTTTTTCCAGTCATCGGGAACTTCACCTGACTGCCATGATTTCTCAAATATGATGGCCAGCGGCTTTGCAACTTCATTCGCCAGCTCCTTCAGGACCTGCGGGTGGATCTCATCAGGACCCATGGACTTGTGCACGTTCAGATTTTTAAGATGGTCTCAAACCAATTCCTCTCCTACAGCGGGCCCAAGGTCTTCATTCTCAACAGTCCCTGGGTCTGCCTTCCAAGACTTGGGTGGTTTGGTCAGAGCCTTTGCCAGTGAAGAGTGAGGCAAAGAAGTCATTCAGAACCTCAGCCTTCTCCAACTCCTGTGTAGCCAGTTCTCCCGAGAGCTTCCTGAGGGGGCCTACGTTCTCCCTAGTCTGTTTTTTATTTGCTATGTACCTGTAGAATCCCTTCCTGTTATCTTTAATACCTCTAGCTAAGTTTAATTCTAACTGGGCCTTAGCTTTCCTAACCTGGTCCCTAGCTTCTCGGGCAACATCCCTGTACTCTTCCCATGCCACCTGTCCTTGCTTCCACTTATTATAAGCCTTTTTTTCAATTGAATTTTCCTCAGGAGCTCCTTATCCATCCAAGGAGGTCTCCTGGCCCTCCTGCACTTCCTTCTGGTTGGGATGCAACACTCCTGAGCTTGCAGCAGGTGATCCTTGAATATCAACCAACAGTCTCGGGCTCCTCTGCCCTCTAGGGCTGTATCCCATGGAACCTTCCGAAGCAGGTTCCTGAAGAGGCCAAAGTCTGCTCTTTTGAAGTCCAGGGCAGTGAGCTTGCTGCACACCCTTCTCACTGTCCTGAGGATCTCAAATTCGAGCATCTCATGATGGCTGCATCCAAGGCTACCCTGGAGTGTCACATTTCCAATGAGCCCTTCCCTGTTGGTGAGCACGAGGTCAAGCATGGCACCTCTCCTTGTTGGCTCCTCTACTACTTGCAGAAGGAAGTTGTCTTCTACACAATTGAGGAACCTCCTGGATTGCTTGTGCCGGGCCGTACCGTCCTTCCAACAGATGTCAGGGTGGTTGAAGTCACCCGTGAGAACAAGGGCCTGCGAGCGTGAGGCTTTTCCTATCTGTCTATGGAGGGCTTCATCCGCAGGTTCTCCTTGATCAGGCAGTCTGTAACAGATCCCCACAGTAATGTCTCCCATAGCTATATTCCCTTTAACCCTGACCCACAAACTCTCTGTGGACTGCTCACCTGTCCCCAGACAGAGTTCCATACTCTCCAGTCTATCCCTAACATAAAGGGCAACCCCCCCGTTCGCCTGCCAGGCCTGTCTTTTCTAAAGAGCCTGTAACCTTCTATCGCAACACTCCAGTCATCGGATCACCATGTTTCTGTGATGCTTATTATATCATACCCCCGTAGACGTGCACACATCTCTAATTCCTCTTGTTTGTTCCCCATGCTACGGGCATTTGTATAGAGGCATCTGAGCCGAGCTCCAAATGAAGCCGGCTCATTGGCTGGAGTGGCTGGGATATCTCTACATTGCTCTGAGCTTTTATTATAGGTTCTGGCAACTGACTGGGTGTGTTGGGATGGAACGATGCCCCCCTGCCCCAACACATCTAGTTTAAAGCATCCTTTACCAGTCTGGCAAGCCTCCTACCAAAACTGCACTTCCCCTTTATCAGACCAGCTCCACCAGCCCCCACTAGACCTGGCCTACAAGCTTGGGTGCCGTGTTCAAGACACCCAAACCCCTGACTATGACACCAGCCTTTTAACCAGTTATTAACCTGGCCAATCCTCCTAGCTTTTTTTAGGTCCTCCCCTGTACCCTGGAGAATTGATGAAAAGACCACCTGAGCTCCAGAGCCCCTAACCACCTCCCCCAGGGCTCTGTAGTCCTTCTTTATGTTCCCCAGGCTACTACTATCTATATCCCTAGCACCCACATGTATCACCAGGAGTGGGTAATAGTCCGTGGGACTTACTAGAGCAGGCAGCCTCTCTGCCACATCCCTGATCCGTGCCCCTGGTAGGCAACACACCTCCCTTGAGACGGGGTCTGGACAGCAGACAAGTGCTTCTGTCCCTTTCAGTGTAGAGTCCCCTACTACTACGACCCGCCGCTTTTTTCCTAGCAGCACCAGTAGAGATCTTCTTTAGCAGTGCATCAGCCGGCTGTTCTGGCTCGAGTGCATTTCCTCATTAGCCCCCTGCAGGACAGCAAAGCGGTTCTGCTTGCGGACAGGGGATTTAGGGGGAAGCCCCTTGCTTTTGGTTGTCCTTTTCCTTCTTTTTTTGTTGTTTTTTTTTTTGTCACTAATTCCCAGGTTAATGGCCTCCTTCTTTCCTTCATGAGGTAGAGGTGAAGCTCGAGGCCCCTGCACAGTTTGGGCTGGGAGCAAGCATTCCTGCTTCCTCTCAGCTTCCCTGACATCTCACAGTCTATTAACAGCATCCCGCAGCTCAGCCACCTGCTGCAGGAGGACCTCCACCAGGGAGCACCGAGTGCAGCCCTGCCCTTCTTCTCTCAGCTGTTTCCTGAAACTCCAGGCCTTGGATCACAGGAGGCTGCGTGCTCAGGAGGAGAGCACGTGGTCTCTGTTGCTGACCTTAGGGAGAGGAAAGGAGATAAAATCCTCCCCACTGCTTGTAACAGGCTCTGTGAGGAGAGTAGCTCCAGTGACGTGGGGCAAGGCAGGCTGCTGTGCGAGAGCTCCTGCCCCTGAGCTTGTATGGACCTGGTGCACTGCAGCTTGCGGATGAACCAATTGGAGGGAGAAGGGCTCAATCTCTCCCTGTGTGGCTGTGCTGTGGTCCTTTCTCCTTTCCCTGTGTGTACTCGCCT